TTTGTGGAAGGACTTCAAAAACTACTTGAAACACAAACGCAAGGAGATGTCTCTTGAAGATCTCATTGTTCGGTTGAGAATCGAAGAGGACAACAAAGCTGCTGAAAACAGAGGCCGTGGAAACTCAACAATAATGGGAGAAAATATTGTTGAAGAGAACAAAAAGAGGAAGAAGGCTTCTGGACCGAAATACAACCCAAGCAACAAGCGGTTCAGTGGAAACTACTACAACTGTGAAAAAGCCGGACACAAATCTACGGAGTGTCGTGCTCCGAAGAAAGACAAGAAGAAGGGTCAAGAAAACATGGTTGAAAAGCATGATGATGTTGATGACTTATGTGCCATGCTTTCCGAATGTAACTTGGTGGGTAATCCTAAAGAGTGGTGGATTGATTCTGGAGCCACTCGCCATGTTTATGCTGTTAGAGAAGCTTTTGCTACTTATGCTCCTGTTAGAACCGATGAGACGCTTTCTATGGGAAATGCTGCAAAGGCCAAGATTGAAGGATGTGGGAAGATATTTCTCAAAATGACTTCCGGCAAAGTGGTAACTTCGAACAACGTCCTTCATGTTCCCGAGATTAGGAAGAATTTAGTCTCTGCTGGACTTCTTGTTAAGAATGGTTTTAAATGTGTTTTTGTTTTCGATAAAGTTGTAATAAGAAAGAACGAAATGTTTGTAGGAAAAGGTTACTTCACTGAGGGCCTTTTCAAACTGAATGTAATGGTTGTTGAAAATAATAATAAAATTCTAGCTTCGTCTTACTTACTTGAGTCAAATGAATTATGTCATATACGTTTGGGTCATGCTAATTATAAAACCTTGCGCAAAATTATTAATTTGGAAGTATTGCCTAAATTTGAAGCGACAAATCAAACTATCAAATATGTGTGGAATCTAAGTATGTTAAACATCCTTATAAGTCAGTTGAAAGAAATTCAGATCCTTTAGACTTAATTCACATAGATATTTGTGATATGAAGTCAATACCATCTCGCGGTGGAAAGAAGTATTTTGTAACTTTTATTGACGATAGTACTCGATATTGCTATGTTTACTTACTTAATAGTAAAGAAGAAGCAATAGATGCATTCAAACAATACAAAAATGAAGTTGAAACGCAACTTAACAAGAAAATCAAAATGATAAGAAGTGATAGGGGTGGTGAATATGAATCTCCTTTTGAACAAATATGATTATAATATGGAATTATTCATCAAACAACGGCCCCTTACACGCCCCAATCCAATGGGATTGGAGAAAGAAAGAATCGTTCATTAAAGGAGATGATGAACGCATTATTGATAAGTTCTGGTTTGCCACAGAACTTGTGGGGGGGAAGCCGTTCTTACGGCTAGCCGAATACTAAATCGAGTACCCCATAGCAAAACACAATCCATTCCATATGAAAAATGGAAAGGAAGGAAGCCCAACTTGAATTATTTTAAAGTGTGGGGGTGTTTGGCAAAAGTGCAAGTTTCTAAACCCAAAAGGGTAAAAATAGGACCGAAAACCGTTGATTGTGTTTTCATAGGATATGCGACTAATAATAAAGCATATCGATTTCTGGTTCATAAATCAGAAAATCCCGACATTCGTAATAATACGGTTATAGAATCAGATAATATTGAGTTCTTTGAAAATATATATCCGTATAAAAAGGACTGTGAGTCGATTGGTGAAGGATCTAAATGACCTCGGGAAGAAACAAAAGAAAGTACACTTAACCAGGAGGATCCAAGACATAGTAAACGTCAAAGAACGTCTACTTCATTTGGACCAGATTTTGTGACTTTCTTATTGGAAAATGAGCCTCAAACATTTAAAGAAGTTATGTCTTCTTCGGAATCATTGATTTGGAAAGAGGCAGTCAATAGTGAAATAGAATCCATACTGAACAACCATACATGGGAATTGGTTGATCTTCCTCCTGGAAATAAACCGTTGGGTTCTAAATGGATCTTTAAGAGGAAAATGAAAGATGATGGCACCATTGACAAATTTAAGGCAAGACTTGTGGTCAAAGAGTATAGACAACGAGAAGGTCTTGACTATTTCTACGTCCATATGAACGTTAGTAGCGTTAACTGCAGTTTATGATTTTGAAATTCATCAAATGGATGTTAAGAAAGCCTTCTTAAATGGAGAGTTGGAGGAAGAAATTTACATGGAACAACCTGAAGGGTTTGTGGTTCCAGGTAAAGAAAAAAAGGTATGTAGACTTGTTAAGTTCCTTTACGGACTAAACCAAGCACCCAAATAATGGCATGCGAAATTTGACCAAACAATTTTGTCAAATGGTTTTAAAATAAATGAATGTGATGAATGTGTGTACATTAAAAATGTTCCAAATCACATAGTCATTGTTTCCTTATATGTGATTAGGCTGATAATGAGTAATGACATTGCCAACATAAATGCGACTAAGCGCATGCTAACTGGCAAGTTTGATATGAAAGATTTGGGAGTTGCTGATTTAATTCTGGGAATTAAGATCCATAAGACTTCTTAAGGTCTGGCATTATCACAATCTCATTATATTAAGACAGTACTTGAAAAATTCAAGCACTTGGGCTTTAAAGTTGCAAAGACTCCAATTGACGTGAATCTTGCATTAGCAAAGAACAAAGGCCAAAGCATATCACAATTGGATTATGCTCATGTGTTGGGTTGCTTAATGTACATCATGAATTGTACACGACCAGATATAGCTTGTGCTATAAGTAAATTGAGTCGACATACGAGCAATCCAGGTCAATCTCATTGGATGGCCATGAAATGAGTTTTGGGGTATTTAGTACATACCCAGGACTTTGCTTTGCACTACAGTAAATATCTTGCGGTCATTGAGGGATACTGTGATGCAAATTGGATCACTGGATCAACTGATTCCAAGTCCACAGGTGGATATGTATTCACTATTAGTGGAGGAGCGGTATCTTGGAAGTCGTCCAAACAAACTTGTATTGCCCGCTCTACAATGGAGGCTGAATTAATAGCCTTAGATCAAGCCGGTGAAGAAGCTGAATGGCTCCGGAATTTCTTGGAAGATAATCCAATTTGGCCCAACCGTTGGCACCAATATGCATACATTGCGATAGTCAAGCGGCAATTGGAAGGGCTGGGAGCGTTATGTATAACGGTAAATCTCGTCATATACAAGGAAGATATAAAACCGTTAGGCAATAACTCTCTAGAGGAATTATCACGATAGATTATGTAAAGTCAAGTGATAATGTGTCGGATCCACTTACAAAAGGCCTAACTAGAGAGGTAGTTGAGAAATTATCAAGGGGAATGGGACTGTGGCCGAGAACAAGTCATAGTGGCGGTAACTCTACCTAGAAGACTGGAGATCCCAAGATCTAGGTTCAAGGAGATCAAACAAAGTCATTAATGACAGTTCAACATTGTTAACTAAACTTTTGGTCCATTCTCGTGATGAGACAATGTTCAGTACCAAGGATAAAGCATTAAGGCTTTTTAATGATTTCTAAATTTGATATGGGGTATATAAAATAGTGTATCTACGGGATGACACATTTAGGAATCACCTATGTAAGTGTGAAGTGTTCGCCGCTTCAAGGAGAACTTTGTAAGGCCAGTTCTCTACGCACTTATGAAACCAGGCGGTGTTAATGGCTGAAACGAACACAACAATGAGAACTAAAGACGGTTAAGGGTTGGTTGTGTGACTTATGGTTGTCTAGGTATACACCAAAGTTCAACGGTTCAAAGATATCAAATCTACCGATTGACCGAGTATATCCGACATAAGTTCACTACGGAAAGTTCAAAGGGAAACCTACTTATCCTGATGCAATTAATCCTTGCTTGCGAATCACACAATTTTTCATGCATATTTCCGTGATATAGCCATTCCCCATTCATGTGGGGGATTGTTGGGATTTTAAGTATATGATATACTTAGAATAGGGTGAATGGGAAATGGAGGGAAATAAAAAATTTAAGTGAAATTTTAAGTTTCCCTCCTTGGCAAAGTGACATTGTCCCATATTGGAAGAGGAATAGGTTTTTTATGGGTATATAAGCAATTTCTCTTCCTCTAGCTCTTAAAGAGTTGAAAGAAGGCAAGCCTCGTGTCGTCGTCGTCGTCACTCGCTCGGCTCGGCTCGGCTTCGGGTTCGGGTTCGGGTTCGGGTTTGGTCAAATGATTGATTGATTAATTTTTTGGACCAAATTTTGTTAATAGTAACATATTAACAGAAATATTATTAAATATTTGTTTTAATAACACAATATTAATATTAAAATAAATATTAATATTAAATCCAATCCGTTTTTCAGTTGTGTAACTGAAATTAAACTACCCTCTTCAATTTTCCCTCTTTATTGTTGAGTAAATAGCCATTTATGTTATGGCATTTATGCTGTGGCCGTTTTGCATAAACAGTCATTCTGAAGAGTTGCACCTCTTCAGATTTCAGCCTAACTTTGGCTATAAATACAAGACTATTCTGCTCAGAATTTCCATAAGAACTTTCTGAGTTCTTCTCCTTTCTTCTGCATATTTTAACTTCAAACCACTACACAAGTGTGTAATTCGTTCTATCCTGGGAGGAAATAATCCATAACCTTGGGTACTAGGAGGGGATTAAATTCCTTAAGAAAACACTGTAAATTCAGTGGGCTCAAATTAAAATCTGTTTCTGTTTTTCATTTCAGTTTATGTTCATTTATATTTTCCAGAATTATTTTAAAAATACAGTTTACTAACAGAATTCACTCCAGAAGTAAAATGGTCACCTATTGATAATTTTTTATTACTAAACTCGAACCTAAAACCTTTATTAATTAAGGGTACAGGAATCTCAATTATATGCCACGGTGCAATAAAAGATACGTAAGACTTAAAGAAAGAGGGAATGCATGGAATTAGGGGCAATGCGCCAAAAAGTAATTTAAGAAGCTTACTCACGTGGGAATGCCCATTTGTTTGTGACAACTCTTACCATTTCTACTCTGTCGGTTCTCTCCTTTTCGATAGTTACAAAACCTCTCTTCTATTCCCTCATTTATATATGCTTTGACAGTACAAGAATCTCACTCTCTATTCACCCTTCTTCTTATTATTAGCTCTTCTTTCACAAAATAGCAGGGGCCATTCGTCAAACATCCCATAAGTATGTTCTTATAATCTACATTATTAAATTCTTGATTTCTTTCACACCTAGGTGAGGGTGACCTTTCTCCCATTTCTTTAACCAAAGATTCACACTATTCAGCTACTTTAGTGAAGCTTTGAGCACCACAACAAAAGTTGATATAAACTAGAGATAAAAAAGCTCAACTCTCTGCAATATTAGTTTAAAGGGTAAGCTTGATTTAGTTGAAACTTTTTGTTGCTTTTGCTGCTTCCCTTTCTCCCTTCCTTTTTAAGATGCACTTTTTCCTTTTTAACTTTTTATTTAGAGGTACATAAGTGGCAATTGGAATAACCAACTTTCTTCCTGATTGGTTCTTTACCTCTTGTTCTGAACTTCTGTGGGGGCGGGAGATACAGTTAGGGGGGGTTGAAAATCGACTTCTCTGTAAAGTTTTGTCGATTTTGTTCCCTTACTGGCAGTATTTGGCAACTCTTCCAGTGGTCCTGACTTTTCAAGTGACCTATTGATTAATTGCCACAGACTACAAAATATTGACCACAATTTCAACATATATCATTCTTGTTAAGAAAAGACTATATCTTTATGTTGTTCAAGACAACTTTACTTTTCCTGAGTAGACAAAATGAATGTGGTGGCTTATGCCTTTAATGTGAGAATAAGGAACTGAAACATTTTGAAACTAGTTTAGATTTATGGTCTCTAATTTCTCACCTACTTGGATAGGATCATTATTCCAAGATTCAGCTAAGAGGAGCAAGAATGTGACTTGCATTTTGCCTCTATTGAAAATCATGAACAACAACCCTACTTTGTTGAGGAATTCGGGTTTATATACAAGCCCACCAACACCAGAATATGGAGATAATCAGAAAGGGTGGAGCTCCGAACGAGTCCCATTGCCGACTCACAGCAGCAGGAGGCATATTAGTGCCACTGCATTGATGCCTTTCAATAGTGGAAGGACAGTGCCTTCAAAATGGGATGATGCTGAAAGATGGATTACCAGCCCAGTGTCTAGTTATGGGGTTTGGAAGACTTCAACCGCGCAAATCCACAGGCGCCCCAAGTCGAAAAGTGGACCTCTTGGGGCTCCTGGCCTTATGTACTTACCAAATTATTCACCCTCCGTGCCGGTTCTAGAAGGTGGAACTTTAAGTAACTACATTGCAAATTCACCATTTACAACAGGTGTACTGGTGCCTGATGGTGTATCCCTTCATTATGGTGCTGGTGCAAATCCTGGTGCTCTATATGCTGACAATAGTATGGCTCGAACAACTAGTGTTCCCAGTCTGTCAGATTTGTGCAGTGAATCTTCAGTGCCAAGCTCCCAAGGTATGCATTTTATCTCGATAGCAGAAGTATGTTCTAACATAGAGTAGAATTGAACGGGAGCCTTGGAACAACGGTAAAGTTGTCCCGTGTGACCTATACCCTCTGTATCGGGCTGCCCTTTATAGAGTAGAATTGAACATGAAAGAGATTCATTGGCAACAGGAATTTGCCTGCTTTATACTGATTATCATTTGCCCCTTCCCTTTTGTCTTTCATGAGCCGAGGGTCTACCGAAAACAGCCTATCTACCTTTTACAAGAGGTAAGGTCTGCGTATACACTATCCTCCCCAGACCTCACCTGTGGGAATACACTGGGTTTGTTGTTGTTGTTGTTGTTGTATACTGATTCTCATAGCACAATTCTTCTACATTAGCCTATGCAAAGTGGATGCATATGAAATGACTGAGTATCATTTGAGGGCATTTTGCCAGGAGAAGAAAAAGAGATACTTGCATCTGTGGTATGACTTTTCATTTGTCGAATGTTCATTAATATCCAAAAGATTTAGCAATACTTTCCCCAGTTTTTTCCATTATTCTATTTCAACTCTTGAATCTTAGATTCTTATCACATAGCATTGGCAATAGTTTTTTAATGACGGTGGTTCCATCAGGTGCCTGCTACCTCTTACCCGTATATGTAGCATTAGCAATAGTATTCCTAGTTTTTGGAGAAATTCTTGGAACCTTTTGACATTAAGCAAGCTTCTTAACTACAGTCGAAGTTCCTTCCTGATTTCCAGCCCTTGTTGCATCTTCTTAAACATTATCAGGCTGACAAGCAAAAGGTTAATTATAGAACATGTTGTGAAATCAATGAGACATGAGGTGTTGGAAGAAAGATTTGTCTTTAGAAAAGTACATCACTATAAATTAATGTTTTTTTGTTGCTGATGAATCCTATGGCCAGATGATGGGACCAAGGAGCCAGATTCTGTTAGCTGCGTAGTTTCAAGGAGAGACATGGCAACACAAATGAGCCCTGATAGCAGTAACCATGCCTCTCCCAAAGAAAGGCCATACGGAGGGGAGCAGAACAAGCAGCATTCTGCTAAAGTCGAGATTAGGGATGTGCAGGTGGACAAAGGAGCCCCCATTTCCGGACACTCTTGGAAAAGCCGGGTGAGAAAACCGAGTAAAGAAACACCAGATGTGACTGGCTCAATTTCACCCTGGGATGTTGCTAATGCAGCAGAGAACATGTCAACGTATGCCACTATGCCATTCATTTCAAGTTTTTGTTTTTGCTTCTTATGCTTTGCAAGGGCATCTGTTATCCTCATTTTCAAGTGAACCGGTATGCCTATGCCCTTAACGCCTACTTCTCACAAGTTTGTAGAAACTATTTAGACAAGTAGCAGCAATACTTAGCCTTCACAACACTAGTAATGGTGGTAACTCAGATAGATTCCCTACATATAAGAGATAGATGGACATTCTTTTGGTAATATGTATGTCCCTAAGCAACAAATTACTATGGTATAGGTTTATTTATCAAGGGGCCAAAAATACTATATAGGGATAACGGTTCTGTCTTTCCTCATTTTGTGAAGGTCACAAAGAGAGGAAGCAAGGATTACTGCTTGGGAGAACTTGCAGAAGGCTAAAGCGGAAGCAGCAATCCAAAAGCTTGAGGTCCGTTGGAATAAAGAATGATATTTGAATACATCTAATGATTAATATACATATCTATCCAGTGTACTTGTCTTAAGGATAGGCCAAGCATCAAAGGACTTAACTATTGTTTGCATTTCAGATGAAACTAGAAAAGAGGAGGTCAGCATCCATGGATAAGATTCTGAACAAGCTTAGATATGCTCAGTTGAAGGCCCAAGATATGAGACGTGCAACCTCAGAAAGTCACTCCCATCAGCCTCGAAGAAATTCCCAGAGAATCATTCCGTTTCGGAAGTATTTAAAGATTGCCTCATTTAGCAGTTGCTATGTTTGCCGTATCCATTAGGTTCTTGTCAGAGCTTAGTGTTACAGCGTACTTGTGATCAAAGGAACAGATTACTCATAACAGACTGTTCAATCCAGTTTCTGACCCTACCTATTCACTATGTAATTCAAGCCTTGCCAGTTGCCACCATCTGTGGCGGAATTCTGTAGAGCTGATTTCTGCTGGTCCAAAATCTTTACTCTAAGAAAATACTGGAAAATTTCACTGTGAAATCCCACTCAACAAACAGTACTAACCAAGGTCCTAACTTTAGGCAGGCGGAAAGCATTGGTTATGGTCCTAACTTTAGGCAGGCGGAAAGCATAGAAAAATACGCACTCCCAAAACACGAACCATGTAAACAACCACTCAGCCTCTCAAACAGATTTCGCTAATACTTCAGCCGCAAAAATGTTAAATATTACCCCAATTGACTATGTTGCTTAACTACTTCTATACTTTCGGATATGACGGGAAAAAAAAAACAGTTCTCATCTTTGTTTCTTTTGCACTTTCAATTCAATGGGTCGAACAGGAAGTGAATTACACAATCCATCAATACTGATCCTTTAATTTAATTAAGGAAATATCAGTAGCACATATATCATAATGTCCGCATAATAAGCTGAGTCAAATATGACATAGTATATAGGTTGACACCCAACACCTATCATATAGAAATTCAGACAGCTTCCAACTTCATGCCACCCAAGCTACTACACACGCTAGTAGGGCCTGTATCTCATATCTGCTCTTGAAGGTCTCCCTCCACCCAGGCCGTAACCCCACTGTCAAAAACAGAGAAGTCACATATTTAAAGGTTATATCATCAGAATTATCATCTGTTGAATTAAGGACAAACGAGAAATAGACAAGTCATAAGCCCAAGGTTGAATATGTCTATTATCAGTACAATCCTGCCTATTTTTTATGCTATACATGCGAAACAAACCTAAAAAATCGACGAAAGAGTTATGAACAAATAATCAAAAATAAACTACACCTTAAGTAAAAATCATTGCACCAAAACAACAGAAAGATGTAGTCAACATGAGAGAGAGAGAGAGAGAGAGAGAGAGAGAGAGAGAGAGAGAGAGATTGTCATAAGACCATAGACACCAAGGCATTGATCTCACCAAAAGTCACCAACTTTGATTCCAATCAATCTTTCGTTGAGAGCTGCTACTCTACTTGCTCGTTGCNGGGGGGGTGAAAATTTAAAATCATCCGGATGAAAAAGGATGTTATAAATGAGAAAGCAATTCTATCACGGAGTAATAAGCTAAAGATAACATAGAGAGAAGTTTATCAAAGTAAGGTTCAAATACTTACATCATCATAGTCCAGGCCCCCATACATCCTGCCATAGGAACGCATAGGACCACCATATCCCCCATATGGTTCAGGAGGAGGAGGAGGATCCATCATGTACTGACTACTTGGACCAGCATCATCAAGTGGAGTCGCAGAATCTATTGCAACCTAAAAAGCAAGGAAGAACTAGGAATAAGTGAGAAGCCAAAAGGATACCCCAAGAAGCTCCTTCGAGGAGGATATAAAAATTCAACAGGTAAAAGTTCAAGCTCCCCAAAAGGCTAACTTCACATCGATGTATGTTATAGGTGTTGCACAAAAAAAAAAAAAAAAAAAAAAGCAGTTCCAACTTTATCGCCTTTAAGAACAATAATTTCGTGCTCCTCTCGCTGCAGAACATCCCAAGTAATGGCCAGGTCAGATTTAAGTTACTTTACACCAATATATGTTTTAAGTTTTGCCAAAAACAGTTATACACAATTTTATTGTCTTTAGAACAATCTTCCAGTGCCCTCCTTCTGTCACACATCCTAGGTAACGGCCAGGGAATTTTAAGATATCCCTCACCAAGTGGGCTCCAGAGTAGACAGGAATTTCCCCCACATCTGGGTCCTCCATTCTTGCTCATCCATGATGATCTTGTTAATTTATTCCCTTCTATAATTCTTTGGGGAAGGAGTCTCCTCACCCATGGTCTCATACAAAACTTGATCAGCTGATACTTCAGTATCCACGGTTTTCTTGGGGTATGGAGTTAGAAAAGACAAAGAAGGTAGATCTTGGAATCACAACATACCTGCTGTCCACATATCTCATGAGGCCTCCGAGAAACACGATCTGCGACACCATCGTCAGCAAATGTGACAAAACCGAACCCTCTGTGCCCTGGTCTCTTGGGATCCTACACCAAATAAGCATTATCATCTTAACACAATTAAGCAATTACTAAATTACTTAAGACAATATCTGTTACAAAAAGGCGATAAAATAAATGAGTTCGTACCTTTGGAACATAAACATCTAAAATACGGCCAAATCTACCAAAATACTGGCGAAGATCTTCAGCTGTCGCCTCTTGAGGTAGTCGACCAACAAAGATCTTCTTGCCCATGCCACGAGAAGGATATCCTCCTCCTCCTCCTCCTCCTCCTGGTTTATTTAATTAAGTTCCTTTTAGTATATGAATTCTGTTAAGTGAGAGGCATGATTTCATGATGTTGCATCTTTTGAAAGACAAATTTGTCAATATTTACTTACGTCCATACATAGAGCCTGGATGATCATATAAGGTGGGAGCACCAAGCGCAGCATATCTAGTTGCACTAATATATGCATTATATGCACCATATCCTCCTCCACCCTGAGGCATCCGACTAACAGGTCTGGAATCTTCTTCCTATAATCATCAACACAAAATGTAAAGGCTAATGAATCATCAGAAGCAAATGCGTAAGTTCAATGACATGTCCTTGAGCAGCAGATATATCAAAGTTTTGTTATGCAGAGCTTGCCTTGGGCGTTGCTCGGTCGACCACAATTGTGGAACCTCCCAGTTCGTGTGTGTCACCCATCAGATCATCAACTGATTCTGGGCAAAGAAACCAAGAGTGACTCAATTTAACGGAAAAGAAGACATATGATAAGCATGCATGTAGGAGACTGGCCCTGTCTTCCCTGGGTACATAAATAAAAACAAGGTGGTAGCTACCACATCCCTACAGCAATTAACAAAACTGAAGGAGGCAGAATTCTTAGGGACGAAGCACAATTACAGGGCCATTAAAAGGTGTTAAGATGCATATGCAGCTCAAAATACCTAGAATATATAACTAGACTGCCAGCGGGAACAGTTGCGAATTACGAAATTGACAGAAAAAAACTAAAGGACGAATCAAGGCTGAGATTAAATCAGAACTTCTGTCGAGCAACAGTAAAGAACTCTTCAAATGTCAATTACTTCCGGTCATCCCAGATCAGGTTTAGAAGTAAGCATCTCGAAAGGCAATATACCCAAGTGTAGGAAGAAAAAGGTGTTGTTCCCAAACCGTTTTTCGTTTTCCCGTTGTTGGGTGACAGGTTAAAACTTATCTTTTGTGCTAACCACTGAGCTATTTACTCCAAAAATGAGGGAATTATCAACCACTTATATCTAAAAGCAAAATGCACTTTCCTATAGTGAAGGTGGTGAATTTTCTAGGAGTACTGGATGAATGCAGAAAGGAAAGAAAATCTTCATATCAAAAGTAATTACTAGCATTTATACCAAATCAAGGTAACATGTTGATCCAGTTTTAAAGAATTAACTGCACTAAAGTGATTACATCCTGGAAGCACTGCAGACAGACTTGGAGAAATGCAGGTCTCAGTCACTGTCTCAATTACTAGAGAAGGAAAGATATATCTGCAACTAAGAACACTTCATGTTTCTCCTCCCTGAATATAAGAACAGTGTCTAAACAAGTCTACATATAAAACAAGGAAATGGGTACAAGAAATTCTCACAGATACAGTTCCTATTGAAAACACAGTTCCTATCAGATACAGTTCCTGCCAAAAACAAGTTACCTATTTTTTTAATTGTTCCTAAAAAAGCTGGATGTTAAGCCTGGGAATAACTAAAGATGGCCAAAGTACCTGGATAATAGAGAAAAAGTAACTGCAAAAAAGAAAAACAAAGACGGGACACATACCAGCATTTGCAAAAGTAATAAACCCAATTCCACGATGTCCCTTTGTAGTTGGATCCTGCAGATTGGGAATAAGATTAATTAATTCATGAATCCTATAATTTAGAGTCAGAACAAGATGCCGCAAAAATATGTTCTAATAATGAGGACACAGAGAGACAGGTGAACCTTTGGCATGTATAGATCTGTTATTTCACCGTACTTCTCAAAATAACTGCAAAAGAAATTCAAATGAGGATATTAAGTTCAAATAATGAAACATCCGACCAGCTAGAAACAGTCTTAATAAGCAATTCTTCACAAATACCTTCTGAAAGTAGCTTCAGACACAGACGGTGGAATTCTAGCAACGAAAACCCTGGTAACTTTCTTTGCAGGATGCCTCATCTCCTCCTACAAAAAGAATGAGTAGCATCTGTATTAGACCTTAACTAGGACCTTTAGAGGCAAAATCACTATAAAAATAGGACTTAACTTGATCTAATCATTGTTCGTTCCAAATAAATTGCAACAAAGAAACAGAATATGATTTAAAAAAAAGATTTAGACAGCAATAATAGAAGTTATTGCAAATTCTAAAAATGATAAGAATCCACAAGGATCTTTTAAACAAAGACCATCATAAACATAAACTACAAAGCCAAGTATCAAGCAAAAAACCAAGAAACAAATTGTTTAAGAGCAAGCATATAATGACTAATGAAACTGGTACACATCCTGGGAGAACTAAAGTTTTAAATCATCTGTCGAACAAATAACTGAATGGTAAAGACCATGAAGAGGACAATATCTTTAAGAAAGCAAAGTTTCTACTAATTTGTTGGGCAAGAATCCTTAGAAAAATAACCAAAAAACAAAGGGGAAAAGAAAGTGAAATGGAAACATTCCAGATGCAGAACACAACTCATTCCAAGCATCCAATGTTCATGTTCAACCAAATAAAGAGATCAATAATAAGATCTTTTCAACCATTCCATATTAAGCAAACATAGCCACTGCAATATATTAATAGACAGCCTAGAAAGTAATGGCACAACATGGGATGAAATACCAATGTAACAAAGAAAACATTGTCAGCAAAAGTGTAAAAATAGTGCACCTTTGGTGTCGCCACTTTCACTTCCAGCATTCTGTTTCCAAGGAAGTGCTCCTTAGACAATGCATTCTGCATCATAATAACACAACAATATGAATATCATGACATGAGAATACAATGAAAAAAGTTAGCATCA